TCAACAATAATCAACAAATCCCATCAAACCATCAAGGTTCCTTAATGATGAATCAAAGTAATCTAATGAACAATCAAAGTAGCTTATTGAATATTAATGATGGTGTTATTAACACGGATTTCAACACTCAAACTTTATTGAACAATAATAATTCCAACTTTAACACTCATTCATTCAATAATAGTAATTTAAATTTACCAAATCAAACTCAAAATACCTTAAATCAAAATAGTATGAATCAAATTGACAATAACACTTTGGGTATTCTTTTGAATATGATCAATCAATCAAAGATGAATAATCCTGTTCAATCGAATTTTAATTCCGTCAATCAAAACCTTTTAAGTTCCTCAAATTTAATCACTTCTTCTAATTCAAATTTCAGTTATAACAAATCAAATAGTAATAATAATCAGATGAATGATTTAAATCCGAATCTCAACAATTTCACTCATCCAATTCAGTCAAATAATCAGATGAATCAGAATATTTCCATTCAACAATTACCTGACAGTGAAATGAATTTAAATGAAGATAATCAAAAGTTTCATACGGATTTTAATCAGAATGTAGTTTTGACAACTCCACCTTCCAAAAGAACTTCCCATTCTGTTTCAAATTCAAATTCATTTCAAACTGCTCCCTTATCACTTCCACCTCAAAAACCTTCTCCCTTTTCCAAAGTTCAATTAGATTTAAATCACGGAGATGAAATGGATTTGGATTCAAAGCACGTAGATCATGAGATGGATTTAGATTCAGATTTAGACGCAGAAGGTTCAACAGATGATGGAAACAATGAAGACTTTATTTATATTAACAAGGAATACATTATTAAAGATCCTTTCAACAAAAAAAATAAAGCTTTTGAAGATGATAAATTCAGTGAATTTTCCGTCCTCCGGTTCTCTCATTTCGAGTCCGGAATGCGTTTTCCGTCCTCCGGTGCACTCATTTCGAGGCCAAACTGCGTTGTGGACATCAAAATGGGGCTTCATTACCCTGCTGAGGGGTTATGAAGCTGGATTTGTAGCGCCTACATTTGCACAACTGGATGTAGGCGCTGATTTGGGCTGAAAAAACTAAGTAGGCGCTTTGAAATTACGCCTACATGTTCCTGGGCATGTAGCGTA